GCTCTTTCATGTAGGCACTTGTCGAGGGATCACGCGCGATTGGCTTCTCGCTCGCCCTTCCTCTCTCTCTCTCTCTCTCTCTCTCTCTGCTGCGTCCGTCTCTTGACGGGCCGATGCAAATGAATCGCGCGCGCCGCCACCGCCGCCACCGAGCAGAGCAGCGCGAGATTGTTGATTATGCAAACGAGCGACGCCTTTCGTCCATCATAATCGCGCGCACATAGCACTGATCGATATGAGATTGATGTCATACTTCGCTGCGACGCTCTGCCCGGATATTGATCGTTTTCCCCGACCAATTTTCCCATTAACGCGCGCTCCAGTGTTATCTAATCTGCATCCTTTCCGTGGTGCAGCTGCAATTCATATAGCTGCGGATAAAGATCGCTGTGCCCGCTGAATCTGCCGTCGCCGACACTCGGCAGGGCGAACGCGCTGTAAATCAATGTCGAAATAGGCTGTCGACGCTCGGTCGACCTGCGTTTCCGCGTATACGCAAACAATTGCGCGCGGAAAAAATGTGAAATTCCTTGGACGTTCGCGCGGGACAATGCCAATAAGCATCGGCGCGCCACTGGAGCGAAGCGGAGAGCCGGAGCTCGGCCGCTCGCGGGCGAAACAAATAACGCGCGCGAACGTTCATCAAGGCGAAAGGCTTCGCGGGGCGCAAATCTCATCGACGACGCGGAAGCCCCACCGCGGACGCAAAGCGAGTCGCGGGCGTTAATCCGCGCGTTCGCGAACCGCTCCCGGCCTCTGTTGCGGGCCTCTTTCGGCTCGTCGCCGCGTGTTTCGCTTCGCGGCGAAATTGGCTTTGTCGACGACGAGGATTGCTCCTCCCGCCGCGCCGCGTCAATTTCCGAGCGACGCGCGCGCTGCCTGGCCTCCTGCTCGCGACGCGTTCGGCCAAAGAGGATGCGAACGAGCGCGGACCGCCGGCCGAAAATCACGACTACCATAAAGCTCGAAAGGAAGCATTCGAACGAACAACGATGATCCTTGTACACGTTTGAAGAACGTAATTCGAGTCGTAAATCGTCGGATATATTGATCTTTATTATCGCGCGAGCTGTAAAAAAATGCTTATAAATCGTTTACTTAGACAAGCACGCTCGACTTATGAAAGGCTAATGTGACGGTTTTATCGCGGACAGCAGCTTTCACAGATTAAAATTAAAGACGGCCGAGGTTCGCCAGTGTAAATCAGTTGCGTGACGCGGCAGGAAGTATAAATATTTAAGGAATTACATTTTTAATGCCTATCAAGTCGAGCATCGGACGTGAATCACCGGCACTGATAGGAGGTGCCCGATCACTCGAACGTCAATGAAATGGGCTTGGTGGACACTTTAACTGGGCGAAAATCAACGAGTCGCTGTCACGCGGCACAGTTTCAGTCTGACTCTCGAATATGTTTCACACTGATAGCTGCGAACCTGCCGATGACAGAGGCTCGAGTGTTTCTGTAAGATTCGTGAATGGAAACTGGACCGACGTTCGAAGTTGGTTAAAAAGAAGAAGCGGCGGCGCTCGAGCGCTCGAGCGCTCGAGCAATAGGAATGCCCGCATCGCAGGCAAGCCCAGCGGCAGCTCGTTCCTTAATTGCATAATCAGCGATAATGAGGATTTATACGTCTCCTATCTGGCGCGCGGCAGATAAGAAACGATCGTGAAAAATTATTCAAACTCCCCCTTCTCTGCCATTCTCTCGTCGTTCCATTGTGTACAGATGCGCCGGCTGCCCTCGAGGAGAGAAACAAGGTAGCCGGAGCGCGGCGCATTTGCATCTTTAAAATCCCGCGGCGAGAACGGTTATAGCTCTCTTGCCCAGCCTCTCTCCGCGCGTCTGCCGATGGATACCGAGCGCTCGATAGCACGCGAGGTGTTGGCAAATTAAAAGACGATTGTTTTCGAGAGAGAAGCGAGTGGACTTTTATTTTCGGCGGCGCGTCGGACGGATCGTTAATTACGAATCTATCAAGACATTTCTTTTATCTCGCTCATATTGGCTTCTATTCATAGATCTCTCTCCGACGTCATTGTGTCTGGCCTCCTCTCTCCCGAATTTTATTTATAGCCTCTGATTGCGGCGCCGCCGATCGCACTACTCAATATTGCAAGTTCTCGTTAATCATCCGTCGCTCTGAATTCTCGAATCCGCCCTCGCGGCGTCGTGGCAAATACTTGTGGCGCGAAAGAAGCCCCGTAGGCTCGTTTGCCCCTGTTGTTTTTCGCTTTGCGCGCGTGCCTTCGATACGGACTAATGTCTCTTTATAGCAATTTTCGTCGTGTACAAATGCGATTTATGCCCTCCAGCCTTTTATACGCAGGCGTACGTACGTGGCTCCGCTCTCGCTCTGCATTTGCAAGCGCATAAAGGAGCGAAACCTCGGAAAAGGACGATGCGAGCGCGAGAGGCAGGCAACGTGAAAAAGAAATGAACAACAGCCAACGAGAGGGAGAGAGAGAAAGGTGTAGAGAAAGGAAACGAGACGGGAATAGACTCAGCACGGAGAGAGAGAGAGAGAGAGAGAGAGACGGAAAAACATCTCTTGCTGTCCTTTTTGGCTGCAAAAGGTGAATTTGGCCGTGCTTCTGCATAAATTTCGCATAATTATATAGCTAGCGCGTCATATCGTTGCGTGTCACGGACTCTCTTTATGCAAAATACTCACGACCGATATGATGATTATCAATTACATAAATCAACTTTGAAAATCGGCCGTCGCTTCGTTTTCTTTTTACCTTGGTGATTCACGAATTGACCTGCGTCTCGAGTTTCGCTGCGAATCGAACGCAGTGCGCGAGAACAATGACACAATCTCCTCGGAATAACTTTGCAACACGCACACCAAAAACTTGTATGCTCGCAAGATGAAATCTGCATAATTGCATATAATTTTGTACGTCGAAATATCGCGCACACGCGAGAACGAATGTTGTCCTGCGAGGGCAAATTAAGTAGTGGGCAACTAATTGGAATTTACACAGTACAAGTCGTCCGTGCGTTATAAGTATAATGATTTATCGTGAAATTGATTAGGACTGACGTTGTACAAAATGTCGAACGATTAAAACGGCACGGTTTACCACTGCTGGTCAAATTGGTAATTAAACTTAATAATACGTTGCTCTAGAGCCTGTAGACACTTGCGCGTAAATTATTGCAAAGCTATATGAAATGCGACTCTGAATTTTATGATTGCAATTTATGCCCGTCGTCGATTCGATACAAGCTTTCGTGTTTATACAGCCTAATAATAAAAACGTGACAAATTCAATTTCATCGAGCTTGTCTCGTCGAGCGCGAACGCACAAATATTTGCGAAGAAACTGTAAACAAAATATAAAAGTAAGTCACTGCACAGGCCGCCGAACGCGCGAAACGGTAAAACGGCATGAAGATATTAAACGATAGCCTGCAAATAAATCACGAGCGAGCCAATAAATAAAAAAAAAAACAAAGCGGGAAGGAAGGAGACGAAGAAGGCGGCAGGAGGGAAGGCGCAAGACGCGAGAAGAAGGCGGCGGGAGAGAATGTGCAAAACTCGAGAGGAAGGCCGTGCGCGCGGCTGCGCCGCAATGTACGAGTGTCGCTCGCGTATAACTCATTGAGCTAAACGAGCGCGCTCGAATCTTTTTTTCACGAGGCGTTTTTCGCGCGGGCCGCGTACATTTTCATCTTTGCCCTCCCGCGACTCAATGAATTTATCGAGCGGGGCGAATAATTTCTCTCCTTTTTCGTTTGTTCTCGTTTGCGCCGGTTGTACGGATTCGCAAGCCGGAGCGGCTCGCGGGCAGAGCTTCCAAAATCGTACGCGAGATTGGCGCGTTGGCGGACCAAATGTGCAGCGTGAATTCACATCGGCATCGAAGATAAGGCGCCGCGATTTGTTTGCCAAAGAAAGCCACGGGCGCAGCGCGGCGAGAAAAAACGTGTAGACGTTACATCAAGCGCGTCAAAAAACCACTTGTTCCTCCGAAACTCCTCGTTAATTCACTCCTCGGCGCAGCGAGCTGAAAAAGCGCGGTGTGCGTCGTCGTCGTCGTTGTCCGCCAGCCCAGCCATTAATTAAAAATCCAGCTCTCTCTCTCTCTCTCTCTCTCTTACTTTCTGCGCTCCAAGCGTGAAATAACGTTTCCTCCCTTCGCGTCCTGCGCTCGCGCACGAGACACGCAAGAGCAAAGCAAGCGTGCGTCGAATAGAGAGAGTGAGAGAGAGAGAGAGAGAGAGAGAGAGAGAGAGAGAGAGAGAGAGAGAGAGAGAAGGCTGTTCGATTCGAAATGATTTTAGAGGGTGGTTTTAACCCCTCGGCCTCTTCCTGATTATTTCGGCGAGGATGTTTCCCCCCTGGATTCCTATCTCCGCGACTGCTGCGCGCGGGGGGAGAACGCGCTTCATCAGTCTTTATGCGCGCGAGGCGCTCTCGCGTTATTCCTCGCGCCCGCGTGGCTTCATTGTCCGCGCGAGAAAATGTCAATTTGCGAAATTGAAAATGCACGGCGGTGTATCGGTCGGCCGCGGATCAGACGTCGTCGATTCGTCGTGTCGTCGCCACTCGTTGCGCGCGTATACGTTTGACTTAACGATCTTTTCCGTGAAATGAGATTTTCTACTCTGCGGAAAAACGCGATTACTCCGGAAAGTTTTACGCTGATCGATTTGTCGAGAAAACATTGGAGAGAGCCAAGTCGAACGAAAACATTGATTCGCTTTATACGAAATGAAAACGATCCATTATGGAGTCCGTCGACTGAGATTTACTGATTATTTGTGCAAATATACGTTTGAAAAATGGCCGGGAACGGATCCGATCGCAAAAGAATTTAATGCCGATGGCATTCCCGAATCGAAAAGTGACTCTGTACGCATGAAATTCCATCCAAGTTTCGATTCGAATTTCAGAGCTCTCGTGCATTCTTCAGAAAAGCGCTGAACCAATGACTCGAGCAGGCGCACGCGAAAAGCGGGCCGGGAAAAGGATAGCCGGCGAACAAACCTTTGCACTCGTTGGCGTCCTTGGCGGTGGCGCGCGCCCAGGGCCGATCGAAGTAGAACGACTTGCACTTCTCGCAGTCGCGGCCGGCGGTGTTGTGCCGGCACTCGCAGCCGAGCTGGCCGTCCTTGTCGGGGCTGCACTTGGCCGCGTGGCCGTTGCACTTGCAGCGGCCGCCCACGGCCAGGTCGGACACGGCGTAGTGGTGCGCCGAGCTGACGGCGACAGAGGTGGCGGCGGCGGCGGCGGCGACGGCGGCGGGGGCCGCGTCGGGCCTGGGCCCGACGGTGGTGGAGGCCGCGGGCGCGAAGCCCATCTCGCGCAGCTCGAGGGCGTCGTTGCTCTGCAGCTGCTGGGGCGCGAGCACCTGGTGCACCGAGGGGCCGCCGGTGGCCAGCGGCTCGCCGAACAGGCTGTTGGCCCGCTGGCCCTTGAGCTTGAGCTCGACGCGCTCGCGGCGGGCCAGCTCGTCGGGGCCGAGCGGCTCCTCGGGCGGGTCGCGCGCGGCTGCTGCCGCAGCCGCCGCAGCCGCCGCCTCGACCTTGGCGCCGAGCTGCGGCATGTGCAGCCGGTTGAAGACCACGCGGATGTCGGTGGCGGTCACCCAGTCCTGCAGCACGGGCGAGTAGTCGAAGTCCACGGCGGAGGGCCGGTCCTCGAGGGTGCTGAAGGCGATGCGGCCGACGGGCCCGAGGCCGTCGCCGCCGGTGTAGCGGTGGCTGTCGGTGCAGCGCGCCTCCTGCTCGTTTTGCTTGGTGATGGTCGCGCGGTTCGGTCGGCCGTAGACCTTGCGGCAGAGCGACGAGTAGAACTGGAAGGGCTGCCAGGTCTTGCCGTAGTCGGTCGACTTGTAGATGGCGATGGAGTCGGGCTTGGCGGCCCCCGGGCAGAACTGCAGGCTGACGTAGGTCAGCTCGTACTTTTTGCCCAGCGACAGGCTGAGCGTGACGTTGTCGGGCGGGGCGCCGGGGCCCTGCGGCGAGACCAGCGGCTCGCTGCGCCAGCAGGTCACGTTGTTCGGGTTGTTCAGGTCGGTCAGGTGCGAGGCGGGGAAGCGGCGCCGCGGCACGCTGTCGTCGCACACGTGGCACTTGGCGTCGCCGGCCGGGCTGCCGTCCTGCTCGCAGTAGCGCGTCGGGCCGCCGAGGCCGCAGGTGGAGGAGGCCAGCACCGGGCGCTCGAAGGCCGCGTTCACGAAGTCGGGCATGCAGCGCCGCGGCCGGTCCTCGTCGTAGCACGGGTCGGCCGACGCCGGCTGCGCGGCGAACATCTTGGCGTAGACGTCGCCGCCGGCGCGCGCCCGCGCGGCCAGGCCGCACGCCGCGGCCAGGCACAGGTACCACCGCCACGCGAGCATCGTCGCGCGGCCCGTCGTCGGGCTCCTCGCTGCGCGCGCTGCGCCGCCTGCTCTGCGCCGCCGCCGCCGCCGCCGCCGCCGCCGCTGCTGCTGCTGCTGCTGCTGCTGCTGCTGCTGCTGCTGCTGCTGCTGTGGCTGCTGTGGCTGCCGCCGCTCAGTGCTCGGGCCTCATCGCGGTGTTAGCTAGTTCGCTCGACTCGTGGTCGCGCGCACCGCGTGCTTCACATGGGGGGGGGAGGGCGAGCGCCCGGGAGCGCCGCGCACACCGACGGGCTGCTGCTCGGCTCTCGCGCGCCAGGCGAATCGGGGAGCAGACGACCGGCGCGAATGCGGGGAGACGTGCAGGCAACGTAGACTCGCGCGCCCGGCAACTTTGGCGGCTAGCCGCTGACTGGTCTCGGTCTCGCGCGGCGCGCGCTCGGCTCCGTGGGAGAGACTGGCCGTCGCGAGCGTAGCAGCGCCACTGGCGGCCGAGCCGGGCTGTAGCGCGCCGCCGGCTGCAGCCTCCCTCGAGAGGCTGCTCGCGCGATCGCACCCCGGCTCTCTCTCTCTCTCTCTCTCTCTCTCTCGCTCGCTCTCGTCGGGGCAAACCTGTTTCCTCTTCCGCGCCCTCCCGTCCCGAATCATCCTTCCGAATCGACATTTGTCGCGTTTCTCCGCGCTCGCTGCGGGAAATCGCCGTCTCTCCCTTTCCGAATGGCTTTTATCGCTCTCGGCTACCTCCGCCGATTCGTGCCCGCGCAAAGACTGCGACTTTCGACTGGCACTGCGCAAGGTGTGCTCGGCATTTGTCGTTCGAGAATGGGCGCGAGATTGGCCGTTGCCTCAGTTTTGCGATTGGGCTGCGTGGCAGTTCGATATCGACGTTCGTCCTTTCGGACTCGGTGGAACAGGAAAGCAAGTGAAATCTTACGTTTCGGTTGTTCCAGTCGCTCTAATCGCGTGCGTCAAGCTGTGAATTCGGAAAGTCTGCAATTTGGCGAGTTGCGCGCTCGAGCGAATGGATTCCGCGCGGCAACCGCGAAAATCACCTCGCTATCGATCATTTTCCCGGGCGTCGATCTTCCGTAACCGGCGATCGCTCACCGTCCCAACCGAAAGAATCTCTCGTGCTGACAATCGATCGCGTCGACGGATAGAAAGAAGGCGCGCCGAGGCGGCGTCCGCGTGACGCAAGATGGGATTGGAAAGAGAAGAGAATCAACGATCGGGGCTCATTGACGAGCTTGTCAAAACAGAGCAGGCAGGAGCCGCGAGAAGCAAACGAGAGACGCGGACGGATGGAGAGATTGGCGGCGAAGGGGAGGCAGGGGAGAGCGGCAGAGCGAGATACGATGAGTAAAGTAAACGTTAACGCTTCGAACGAGAGAGCCGTCCAGCTGGTCGACTGTTCTCGCCTAAGCACACCTACTGATTACATGAATTATCCCCGTTCGAGGCTCTCCAACTGAGCAGCTCCGTTTGATGAATTTCACGCGGGACGTTATCTTGAAAATTGAAGCAGACGATGGCGATCGCGTTGCTCCCTTTGAAGTGCCTGAAACAGTGGAAATACCAGGCAGCTTTCAACAATTATCGATTTAGCGCTAACAGTGCCTTCGTCGACTTCTCGGAAAAACATCGTTTTCTCGAACGATCCTACCCGCTGGAGGAAGGCCCGAGCTCAAACCAACGCTGTATAATTATTCGGCCGAGTTTTTACTCCCTTTGCGCACAAATTTTCCGTCCTTCGTCGCGTGTTTTTGTTCCTCTGGGCGCTCGGCGCAAGAGGATGCGAGTCCTCCGTACAAGTCCATTCGCGCGCCGCAACGAATGCCGAGCCTCGAAATGCGGAGCGAGGAAAAACGGAGCTGCGGGACGTTGAGCTTAAGAGGTCTTAATTGACCGGAGTGGGGTGCGAGAGAAAAAAGGACTCCGTTGAATCAGGGACGCTACGTTTCGCGCGCCCTGGCACTTTTATCATCGTCCTGCCTGCTTTGCCTCTCGCGCTGCCTATTTCCTTTTCTGGCTTTCATTGAGACGCATTGAGCGCGATTTAGCGGCCAAGCTCGCCCAACTTTATGCATTTTCCACGCAGTCAGTTCCCAGCTTCTAGAGGATGCTACGAAAAATATCGTTGATAGCGAATTTTCAAAACAATACACTTGCCATTAAGGACAACACTCTTGATCCAAGCAATTTTTCTGCTATTGGAAAACTCTTTAGTTCACTCGTAAATATGTAATAACTCGTTGCTTTTAAAAAATATATATTCTGCACTGCGAGAAAGAGAATGAATTATACCTCATTTTTCGGTGCATTTTAATGGAAAGCAAGCCGCTATTCGAACTAGTTCCGGACACTCTTGTGTGCGCAAGTGTTCTCGAGCACTCAGAGAGACACTTATCTCCGCTATCACTTATCGGTAGTACAAGGCATTACCAGTCAAGTGAATGAGCAAGTACACTCAAAATTAGATGACTCCACGCGTTCAATATCAAGATCAAGCTCTCATTGTGAACTTAGATGAAGAAACATTTTTTTTTTTTTAAAGTAGTCCTTACAATTTATAGCACATAGTATTTACATAAAAATAATGCAATAACAAGCGCAGTAAAGGTGTAATTAATCATTATCATAGGAGCAGAACGTATGAAAAGCTTATAAAAAAATGTTAAGAGGTTTATCTATGCAAACGAGTTGTGAATGCGCAATAAAAGAAGAGAAAAAGACATCTAGTTTTATTTGACCATTTGATCTCTGAAAAAAGTAATAAAAGAGCCGTTTATCGTAATCAAGTCAAAAATTAAAGTCGCTTGTCGAGTCAACCACAGACAAGCAAAAAAAATTGCATCAAGGCAGCAAGTCGATAGAGAGCGAGCGAGAGAGGAAGAGGAATTAAGAAAGGGGATCCCTGGGAGAGCGCAGTGACGAAAGACGATGAAGAGCGTTAAATTTTTTTGCACGCACCACTTACGCTCGCAAAGAGAGAGAGAGAGAGAGAGAGGCGGGGTCGCGGTGTATAAAACTCGAGTGACACGCGCGCGATGCGATCCCGAAGACAGGATATTGTAAGCGGAGAAGACGACCGCGCGTTTATGCGTGTCTCTGCTCTGCATTTCCCTCCGGCTGTTTTTTTTATTTCTACGGCTAGCTCTTTGCACTCTCCGTTTCTGTCTCTCGTCGCGGCGCGAGTTTTATTCGAGCTAACGAAGTAGCTTCGACGCTCACGCCGTAATTTTTCGCGCAAAACGCACGAATGCCAACGGCGCTCTGCTGCGATATGCCAATTTCAATATTTACTTATTAACTCTAATGTAACATGCACTTTTGGAGCTTCTCTCGCGGATAATTTTAATGTGTTATTTACCGATAAACGATCTGGCATATTTTCGAATATGCCAGCTCCGAACTCGCATTTTGCACGAAAAATGATCGCGTCGATGTTGATTGAAGCTGCTTCGTTACCTTGAATAAAATTTTTGCGGCTATTGCAACGCTTATTTTCTGACACCCATCCAAAAAGTTACAGCAGACTCCAGCGATCGAACGCTGTCGATACGATGTAAAACGAAAAATTGAACGTGTACGAGTTGGCACGGGAATAGGCTTAAATTAGTCGTACAAGCTGCACGCGGCAGCCGAAGAAAAAAACCTCACTGAAAAGTCAGTCGGGCCGTTCTGTTTCGAATGAATTCACTTGCAAAGTCAATGAGTGCGCGCCGAAGGCACTCGGCCAAGACCGAGGCCTCGCGCGCGCCGATTCCTTTCCGAAGGCAGAGGGTTCGTCGAATGCACGTCCTCGGCACGTTCGCAGATATCCTACATCACGTGTATACACTCCGGTCCTGGACGTTTCTCCGTCTCGTCCATTTATCTCTTTATCGGGCGCAGCCCGGCTGCAGTCACGCGAGCCAGCGGCAGCGGACGCGCGCGAAAAGGCCGAAGGAGAGGCGGAGAACGTCTTTCCTATTCGGAGAGAAGGGCCTGCGAATTCGGCGAATCGATCGGCGCGAAACTGCGAGACTGGGCCCCGTCTCGAGCTGACGCGAGGAATGCGCCCGAATAAATCGCACCGCGCTCTCGGGGGTCCACGATACGCACGGCCAGAAAGCCTCTATATCCTTTCGCTCTGCACTGCCGCGCTAATCCAGTTCGCTGCCTTTGTTTCCATTGGAATTGCGACCTCGTTCGCCGCTCTCGATCCAAACTCTGTTAGCCGGTAATTCCTTTCGCGCTCGACTTGCGCGACGTCGAGACGCGCGTGCTCCCGGAAAAATGCAGTTCGGCGAGGCATCGATCTCCCGAAAGCTGCGCGTCGCACGGAGCATTGGGAAACCGCTTTGACGGGCATCAAGCTGGAGGAAGAGCTATGGAACATTGAAGAGGCGTCGGAAAGAGGAGCAATATCAACTTCAGAGGCATCCGTCGAGGCCCTTTACGGGCAGGTTGCTCTTTTTGCGCGGCGCCGTCGTCGTCCCTCTCGTCGCTTCGCGCAGCGTCGATTGTCTGGCGACTCGCTCGCAAGCACTGCTGCAAGATACTATAACCCGAAGGATGCGCGTCAGCAATCTGCCGAAATCAGGCGAATTGCGAGGGTGAGGTTAGGGGGGGGGGGGGAGACACGGTTCACTCTTTTCGCCGCTCGCACGCGGGAAATGTGAGACCAAGTGCCAGACGGCACGCCAGCCAGAGGACAAAAACGTCGAGCACGCCCGTCGTCGGGGTGATCGTGCTGCAGGGATTACTTGATCGCCAGACTCTCTCTCTCTCTTTCTCGTCTCTTCCTCTTCTGCCTACTCTGCACTCGCACTACTCGCGCACGCGATATTTGTATCTCAGCGTGTACCTTAGTTCGTTTCACTTTCATCTGCACTATGCGAATTGAGGCCGAATGTGTTGCGTAGTTGTCGATAGTTGTGTCTTTTACTCGACTATTCAATAAATTACCTCATTTTTTAAATTGTCAAACTATGATATACAAATAATATGAAAATAAATACAGAATGCTCACTGGAGTATCCAGCTGCATATCATGTTACCTTATCATCGTACCAATCACATTTACTTGTTGTCAAAATGTAATAGACAGATTGTAAATTAACTTGGAGTAATAAAAAAAACTGTACGGCCAAAGTTATACAATACGGTTTTAGTTACATTTTTAATATAATGGAAAACTCAAAAGGTTCGAAGCTTGAAAAGCTCATGAAATCTTGAGTCACTTCTCAAGCACGTGTTCGTTAGGTTGTATCATCCACTCTTTAATACCTTTAAACAGATTTTTCATGTTATAAACTGTTGTTCAGTGCTCTCCGTGTACTTTGATCTTTCATTTCTAAATTTCACTTTGAATGTTTTGCCAATATTAATTTTTTAAATCATTAAAACTTCGTTCATGACTCATAAAAAAAACTATACTAGTATAAATTGTATTGTTTGTAATCAACTAAGCAAAACAAAGTAGATAATAAGATTATTAAAGCTGATGTTTTTGGTACCTTGAAGCGGAAATGTTCTGTGAAAGTTGAACTTGCAGACCTTGTAAGACAATAGTGAAGACAATTACACAAAACTTATAGCATTATTGTAATAATGAAAATATAAGTGTATAAGCTTATTTATTATTTTGGTTCTCTGAAAGTTGAATGCGGCGACTGTAGAAAAGTTAAAAAAAATTTGCCGATCAGGCTAAAAGGCTTATTTGTGATTGTATTTTTATAAATACACGTACACGCGTATATATAAAGCTATAAATATTGATTTACAAATATACATAAGGAAGAAAACTATTGGAATCTTAGATTCTATATTACATTAAAGTTCAAATGTACAAATAAGCGTAATATTAATCGCATATAAATATTGTCGACTGGTTTTTAATCACAAATAATTAGAACGTTGAGTAGTTCTGTAAATATTGAATGGTATTGTTGATTAGCTTCGTTCGTTCGCAATCAGTTATGATTTGAAATACCAAGAACAATTTATTACATTTGCTTTTCTAGAGTTTATTAAAAAATTAAAAGTCCTTTATAAAATATGTCTTCACGTGTGAATAATTTATTCGATCTTATGTATTTTTATAACTTCATACTTGACAATTTAAACACATAAAAAGACATTTTATCTACGCTCTTAATTACTTGCATTAAATTTTAGATGCCGACATGATTTTGAATACATGCAACTAATTTCTAGCTACAATAAAATTCAATACAATATAAAATGTATTCAATATTTAAATGCAATTCGTCTTGAATGATTCGACTAATGGATATATTTAAAACTGCAATAAATAATAACTTTTTGCATGCAATTTAACTGCTGATTATTTCATATACTCGTTCTTCCTGATATTTTAAATGAAATCGATAGATAAACTGTCTTCGATAAAAAAAAATAATACGGTTAGAGAAAGATATTTACAATATTGAAGCTTAAATAAAATCACCAAAATTATAAAAAACATCGCTTCATCGAATATGTAATGATTAAGATAATACCACAGTGTTAACGGAAATAAACTTCCAAGTAGAAAACCTATTTGTGTAAGAAATTTTAGTGCGATATTTTTGAAGAAGCCATACACTTTAAGTTTCTTGAATACAAAGACAAATAAAAAAATTAATTAATATTTAATTTAATTAAAAATCCAAAATTGCTGTGAAAGAAAATCAAAGCAATTCTGTTGAGATTGAACGTTTTATATTGTAGTAAATATCAATAAAAATAAAGAATTATCTTATTTGTGAGTAACGAGGTCTTTCAATGAGATAATAAGTTATACCACTAATAAGTGAAGTTGTATATAATAACTTTCCTATGGCTTGTGGCCTCGTCAGGTGGCTATTAACATGACTGGCTAGTAAATACAAGAGTAGATAACCAACTGGTACCATGGAAAATTTGTTATCTGTATGAAGAAAAAAAATTTAACGTTTGATGTACTTTTGCCTTATCAGAATATTACTTTAAACTTATTTTATATATACGCTTAATAAGCTAGCTCGGATCACTTTCACTTATTCCACTGCCGAGCACATTCGAATATACTGAGCAAATATATCAGATCATTTCAATTAATATAATAGAATCGTGAAAAAAATGCGTTCTCGTTTCAATGAAATACGTGAAAAAAGAATAGTACATTACGATACAAGTAATCTCGTCTTGCGTGGGGCTTGTGCCCGAGCGAAGCGAGGAAACTCTTTCCCGAACATGTGCCGTATCGTATTTTTTTATACGACGTGTGGAAAGTGCGATTTTCAACGGACGTTTTCTGCCGAACGTGCGGCAAAGACGTACTTTGCGCACGGTGTGTCGAAAATAATTGATCTTAACGGAAATACATCTAATTACATGAATATTTATAAGGTATTATATATAACCCATTATGCGATTATTAAGCGCGAATAACCATATAATTTCTCGCCAAAAATGAATATTTCAATGTGTGAATGTCCTTATGTGATTGTGTTAATTATGTCAAACCTGAATTATCGTAAATTTTAGAAAACTCGTTTTACGTGGAAGTATGTGGCAAAAGTGTTTTCTAGTAGTTAAATTATACGTGATATAAGTTGAAAGATTCAGACATTATTTGGCATTTTTACTATGATACAAGCTATACGATAATAATAAACTGAAGATTAAACGTGAACTTTGAAAAATGAAAGAAAAACTAATATTTCTACTTTTAATTAAATTTTAACATAACTAGAATAACTGAATGTGTTATGGCTAATTGCAAAATTTGCTCTTAGATTGTCCTCATAACTATAATTTTAGTAATTTTAGTGTTTATCGATCGTCTATCATACATTTTTGAAAAAGTCAAATGAAAATAGTTTGCCGGACGGCATTTCGCTTCTTTATACTTTAACCGTAAACCGGAGTACAAAATAGCTTTTGAAAAACGGATTTTGAGTTCGGGAACGATTATTCAAAATCTTGGATCTGTCTTTAATTGACAGTACGAATATAATGTTATAGGATGGTACGTCCGTCGCACACATCAATTCGAGATTCGAAACAAGTCCTATATTGGATATACATATAGTCCCATATGGAGTCGCGGTACCTTATAGACACATACATACTTAAATAATGTACCACCAGAGCTGATACCATGATTAATATATAAATACTTGTATCATAGAAGACTTTGTATTGACATCGTTTATTTCTATCAAATAAATTATAATTGACAATTATTATTATTATGATACAATAAGGCATAAGCTTACAAGTTAAGCTTAAGGCCCACAAGTTACAAAGTATTATTAGTCATGACATTGCGTGATAATTTTATCTATGGCAGGATTGCGAGGTTTTTTATTTTCCATATTTGAGATTTGTTCAATATTTTCAATCATGAACAAATATATGCTTAATATTGCTATTTCAAGTAGCTGACACACTGCTCTGGTCATTGCAATAGCACCAAAAATGATTACAATCGCTGCAATGCATGTATGTGGCGTTTCACTGATGATTGAAGTATAAATCCATAATACTATTAATGAAAGAAGTGTAACGAATGTAATTACAAAAAATGCAAGCCATCCAATAACCTAAAAAAATGATATAAAAGGCCATGAAATAGATTTTAGTAGAGACAGATTATTTAGACTATTTCGTAGTGAAATTATAAATGAAACTGTCGTTACTTCTATAATCTCAATTTCTTACCGAGTAAACGGTCAGTAATTGCACAGGATTTCGTATGAATATTCTTCCAGTAAGTTTGGCTGATTGTTTGAATGCAGTTCTGTGAAAACTGCAAAATATCAGTCCAGTGCTCGACAAGTTCCAGACTGTTACTAGCCAAGAAATAGATCCTATGAACGGCTTTTGTCTTAAATATTCGTTTGTAGCATTCCAAGCATATTTCCACATCACCGATATTTGCACAATGGGCGCGTATGGTGACGATGCGTAAATTATAGTACCCATATGGTTCCTAACGTTAAATTCGACTGTTTTATTAAAAATTTAACGTTTGATTAAAACTACGTTAGTCAGGTAATGGTACACATCTCACCTTACAGTTGATCTGAATACACCGAGAATAGCACTGATAGAATTACACTTGTCTTCGGGATTTTGGTATAGTCTGGCAAAAGTTCGAGAGAAAAATACGTAACCAAAATTCCAAAATGTATAGTTAAGCCAGATGCAACTAACTATGTTAATCATATGAAACAAATAGATGTAGCTCGGGATCGTAACTATGACGAAATTACAAATATCATGTGAAACTCCATCGGCAGTTTGCACTTCCTTGTACAATGGCTTAAGTGACGTCGACATAAGCTGGCAATATATATAGAATCCAAAAATAACCGAAGACAATGCCAAAGTGTGTATGAAAAACATCACTATGAATCCAAGTGCATAACTTGTAATAGCTCTTAAAATAGAGGTATTTCTCTTTTAATATAATACATGTTAACAGCTTCATAGATTATATCACGTATTTATTAGTTAGATATTACCTGCAGGATTCCCTGAGTAAATTCGATACAAATGCGAAGCCCACTTCCTTCAAGGCCAGTAATTTTGATACCACAATAACGATAAATATTGGGAAAAAGAGATATGGCTTCGAACTCGAATGTCTGTAAACTTGACTTTGCGATGCAAAAATTGTTACGACAAACAAAGCTATCAACAGAACTGCTTCGCCCATTATTCCAGTGCATATAGCAAAACTTGTAGCTTTTCTAATTATAAAAATAGTTGAAATCGACCATAAAACGGCCAAAATAGTAATCGATAGAATCACAAATCTGGAATGCATGGAAAATAATAAGCATATTTGTATATTGCCGACTACAAAAAGGAGGAGGTTCTATATTCGATTCTTTTATATGTCCGCGTATATATCTGGAACGGTTCACCCGATTTTAAGCACAATGGAAGTAAATTCGTTTGAGTGGATACGCTCCCTGGATGATTCTGTTTCATTATTTGCTTAATTCCAACATAACTTCGCGACTAATTGCAAAAAATAAATTTCAAGTCGGTTTCGCAAAAAATTAATATTCTGTATTTCAATGCGTAAAGTATATTCAAAATGATAAAACTAATATTACCTCGTGCGATATAGATCGTCGAATATTTCAATAGCCACCTTTTCAGTTGAATCGACAATCACACCGTCGTCGATCATGTTATGAATATAAGTAAAACTGTTAGCTATGTGGCCATTTTGCACCGCTGTAATTTTAACTGATTAAGTAACTTGAATGACATTGTTATTGACCGTATAGTCACTAATTGCATTTCATTTTACCATATAATGCTACTCCGATGTATAGTATCATGAGTACAATAAAAGCAATTAACGATGAAACGTCTACGATTCTTCTTTTCACACATAGTTCCCCATGTAAATTCTGTTCAACGTACATATCTAAAATTCAACAAAATTTCTGATAATTTCTGATAATTGCAGCAGTTAAAAAGTGTTAGCAATTATTTTTTCAATCTGAAAGGATTGTTCGTGAATGTATGTGTAGTTTGTGAAAGGATATGAAATAATGAATGCGTAGTTTAGGCCAATATGATCGATATATTATAGGCCTAAAAAATTGGGAAAAAACTCCACAAGGTTCGGTTAGGTTTGATCTTGCGTGCAAAGTATGTTTGATTAATAAAATACAAACTAAGATTGCGATAACATGCGATCATGCGATCAATCGTTGTGTAAAGAATTAAAAACGTGCTATGATTTTATTGATTACAATTGATACTTAAAATTATGCATATATATGTTGGATGTAAAAAATTGAAATTAGTTAATTTGTGGCTAACCGACCAAATGATATGTGAAATGAAACGCGTGGTGTTGTGATGTCGATTGACTACTTTGTGACTAGTCGGCCAATATAATGTACGTGATGAATTGATGGTTTTTTAGCCACTGCGGACTTGATTAACTATTTTGTGGCTAGTCAACCAACGATATGCATGAGTGTTTGTGTAAATTGTGTTTGTGTTACCTGAGTTCGAGGAGGGTCTGTCTCGCGGCGATTGCTAGAATTGCGCGACTCAAACAAAGAGAACTGATTGGAAGAGTTTTTTGGAAACTAGAATAAAATACGCGTCTATTAAATACTATTTTAATTGAAATTAATTAAGCTTAACTATACTACGTTGACAAATTAAATAAGTTAATGAAATTCTGTTTAACGAATGTAGAATTCAAAACGTGCACACAGTTCGGACGAATGATTTATACTGCTAGACTTTGACAACTAACTGATAACGCGTCGTAACCCGAAACGCATACTCTCCCTTACTCTCCTTAAGCAGGAGAAGAATGAAAAGTCATATAGTTAGATCGTAGTTAGGCATGCTGAGTAAGTATAAATGAGAAGAGACAAGAGAGAGAAAGAAATAGTACGTGGCCACTAGGAGAGAGGAAAAAGCTCGACTATGCTACAACCTTATACTTCCCCTTTAGCTATATAGGAAATACTTTCGTCTTTCGACGAAACAAAAAGTATACAATACAAATAGAATGAAGATAGCGATCTAGACTTACTTGGTCAATTAGAAGGCAATAATCAAAGCAACGTTTCGCTCTCTTGGATGCTGTGATTGAAAAGTTGCACAACTGACGTACTTTTACTGTAAGAGAAAAGCATATGCTACGGTAGTTATCATTATCTCGAAGTGCATTCCTTTCTCTTATTTATCATGCAGGAGAAAAGAATAATATTACAATGATACATTCTCATAAACGATTACGCAGAAGCCATATAATATTCAGATAACTACTCATCACTGACTTTATTATAAAAGTATTGTAAGGAAATAATCGAGCATAGGAGCATATTATGTTTTATGAATGATCGTAATGAGTTAGCGTACTTTACATTCAAATCCTCTCTTACCTCTCGACAGGCTTCGATTCTTCTCGGTATTTTAGTCATTGCAAAACTTTTCGTGTGCAGTTTTGCCCTTTATCCACATCGTGGATTACAGAGACGATTTTGTTGCTACGGCACCATTAAACTATTACTCTTCTCGTTCCAAAAAATCAAATATAAATAATTCAATCAAAAAACAATCTATTTTTATAAAAACCGAGATACAACGATATATTTACTGCAATAAGTAAATCGAGATAATGCGTCATGAGTAGCTATTATCTCACTGTCGATGCAATAACTGCGAGTCAGTGGCATCATCTCCCGGCGATTCTCTTATCGTTGCAATTATTGAGAGCTAACTGCTGAAAGAATCAATGTCATGTTTTCGTGCTTTGCAATAAGTAATTATAGCTCACATACAAGGAAAGTTCCTATTTTGTTATTGACGTGATACTGTAATATTGAGTAATTTTTTGTACATTATTATATTGTTTTTTTTTCAATATAGAATGTCCATATATTCAAGATATTCAAGATAAATGTAGGTTTTAGCTTTTTATAATGTTTCATGTATGTGACAACTAAAAGTAATTCATTGACCGTCTCTTATCACTAGACTTCCGCCGATTTGCGCTGAATGGTACGGTACATCACATTTTACGCCAGATGGCTTATCAATTTCAGATGAAACAATGTCAAGTTGTTTTTCCAACAACTGTAAATATGAGTTCTATTCCGATCAGTCGTTCAAAATTAAGCATAATCATTTGTCGTTCTATTTTTGACGACTTTTATTAAGCAGTTAATATTCAAGGTACATACTTGCATCGCCTTCTACCATACCGGGCGCCCCATTAAACAAACAAACTGAAAACTATTACTAATCGAATTTTAATTATTAGTGTGCGTATTCTCAGCCAGTCTGTGCAGTTGAATATCGAAAAGAAAACTATTTCAGCGGTAAAGTTAAATTATAAGACATGTGGTTGCCCAGAGGACGTGTATATCGGCGGCTGAGGCGAGTACACGGAAGGTCTGCTACCGTAAACCACCGTATCTAGAATAATACCTACTATTATTTTGTAATTGAATTGACATAGAGTTCCGAGGCAAGCGTGATTTTGCGTAGAGCCGCTGACGAAGAAACGATCTGAAAACCAATTAAATAAAACGTCGGTTCGATACATCGCTATAGATAGATTTAACATGATAATAGGTATAAGTAGCGACCATAGATCTAAGCATTATCGTTGGCATTCGAGCGAGCACACTGAATAACTTGACAGCCTTCGAGCAGCTCCTCTTTCAGAGAACTATCTGTCCCCATTGAATTGCAGCCTCTCCTTTCGCGCGCACCACCGCGCGCGGAAACCTCCAAACAAAGAAATAGTCAAACAAGCAGATCAGAAATTAAACGGCGCGTTATCTTAATCCGGATCTGGCTTGCCCTCGATGTACGCGGCAGCGGGCCAGAAGCACCGGTGGCGGCGAATAAAAAGAGACGAGGAATGAAAGAGGAAGAAGAAGAAGAAGAAGAAGACGGCCGCAGAAGAAACACCTTGGCGAGCTCATTGAGGCGAACGCCTGCGAGCAAAATGACGGCCGAACAAAGGGATATATACACACAGTAGAGCCGGCTCGCTGAAACAGCAGCACCGAGGTATTCGCCATTTTTCGTTGTTTTTTTTTGTCCTCCCCGCTTCGCTCTCTCCCTCTCTATCTCTCCTCGCCGCGCGCCGTGATTTAATTATTTTTCGTAAAAATAGAGCTGTTCGCGCGCGCGGAGTCTATCGACTCCGACATTTTGCGACGATCTGCTTAATCAGAGCTGAATCTCGAGAGTTTGATTGATTAATCGAATGAATATTTATGCTTCGGCCGACTGCGGCTTCTCTCTCTCTCTCTCTCTCGGGTTCTTTCGGCAATCGCGCCAAAGTCCCTTCGCGACGCGGAAATATCAATTATGGAATGATGCACCGTCGGAACGTGCGAGTCTCGACGCGTTGGGAAGAGCGCGCGGTGACATACGCAATGTTAACCCATTAAAGCCCACGCTAAGACTGGTTGAGATAGCGACAAACAAACTGTGCTATCTTTTGCATAAGTGAAAAATAAAATATACGTATTTTTTTTTATGTTATTTTCAATTGTTTATAACAAATTATTTAAACAAATTACAAAAAAATTCATAATTATCAAAATCTAAATGCGGGAATCGATTCTGGAGGTGAAATCAAGACGAAAACCTATATAACACTTTTTTGTCAGAATTCAATTTGTTAGTGTAACGTAGGAATAAACAATTGCATGTTGGGGAGAAAAAGTGACCATGTCAAGTCCCAAGCAAAATCTATCTGGAATAGCAAAAAATAAACTGTGCTATCCTTTGCATAAGTGAAAAATAAAATATATATATTTTTTCTTATGTCATTTGCAATTGTTTATAACAAATTATTTAAACAAATTACAAAAAAATTCATAATTTTCAAAATCTGAATGCGGAAATCGATTCGGGGGATAAAATTGAGATGAAAACCTATATAACACTTTTTTGTCAGAGTTCAATTTGATATCTTTATGTAGAAATAAACTATTGACAAATAAGTGTTTTCATTCTCACACATGGTATCTGGAATCATATCAGTATTTTTTACTGATAAATTTTGAGATCTTATACTGTAATTGGATAAGTTTATTTCATTTCGTAAATCCTTCCGTGTTAGAGATCACGTTTGAGTGGCGGGCTAACGGTTGAAAACATTTATACATTGGATCTATTCTTTGAAATAATAATTTCGGAAAACTTTTAGTTTTTATTTTGTTCTAAATTGGTAACGTTACTGATAATGCCGAGACGGAGAATTAGCGATCTACCAAATTTAGTTGAAGATTCTGATAGTGATGAAGGTCAACATATTGATATAGCATTCATTCCTAATGAATATGAAAGTTCAGATGGAGATTCGGACGGTGATCCAAATGAAGATACATTATCAAATGAATTACCATCAGGTTCTTACGAACATGTTAAAAGTACATACACAAGTACTCAGAAATTGTTGGAACCGAATCATAAGTACAGTTGGAAAAATGATGCTTTGAATGATATTTCTCCGCATGTCGAGAGCAACTTCAATATTTCACCTATTTCATCATTGCAATCCAAAAATGCTTTTGAGTTGTTTGAGGTTTTCTTTTCGAAATCAATGAAAAACCATATCATTGAAGCCACTTCTGAAAATCATTTTGATTTATGTATGGATGATCTAGAAAAATTTATTACAATCATAATGATTACTATCTTCAATTCTAGAAAAAGTATTCGTGATTACTGGTCAAAAAAGCGAATACTTCAGTGTCCAGTAATTGCGGAACTTATGTCTAGAAATAATTTCGTTGCCATAAAAAAGAACATACGATTCTATAAACTTCAAGAAACTGATCAAAATGATAAAGTCTGGAAGGTTAGAACTCTGTATGATATGTTTCGTGAGAATTGTATGCAATTTGGTTTCTTTGACTATAATTTATCAATAGATGAGATAATGGTAAAATACTTTGGTAGGTTTGGTATCAAGCAATGTATAAGGAATAAACCCATTAGATTTGGAATAAAAGAATGGGCAGTCTGTTCTTCTGATGGGTATATATATGATCTTGATATTTACACTGGTAAATCAGGAATCGATGAACGAAATCCTTTAGTTGCCGTTGGTTTAGGGTCTAGAGTGGTGATAAAGTTACTTTCGAATTTATTAGAAAAAACACAGAGAGAAGAACTGAAAAAGTATCATATTTATTTTGACAACTTTTTCACAAACCCAGATCTTATGATTCATTTGAAAAAAAATGGTTTATCGGCGACAGGAACTGTTCGGCATAATCGTGTGAAAGTGAAAGTCGAAATGCCAAAAAAAGCTAAAAGAGGATACACTATTTCAATGCATGAAGTGAATTCAAAATTGAATTATATTACAGTTATGGACTCAAAGCCAGTATCGATTCTCTCTTCGAAATATGGAAATGAACCAAAAGTTGAAATGCAGAGATGGCAGGAATCATCGAAAAAATCTATTCTTTTTCCTCATTGTTTCTCTATGTATAATGAACACATGGGTGGCGTCGATCTACATGATCAACACTGTAATGCTTTGATGCCTACAATTCGAAGTAAGAAATGGACATGGTGCCTTGTATTACGGCTCATCCAAGCATCCTTAGCAAACGCTACAGTGATTTACAATAAGTTACATCCAGACGAAAGAAAAGGTTCCAAAGATTTTGTTCAAGAAGTTTGTGAATATTATATTGACAAGTTATCTTCCAAACGTCCCCCCAAACGACAGAAACAGAGTGAAACTTCATCCCAAGAACACGTGATGAAACATGGGAGTCTTAGGAAATGTGGAATTTCAACATGTCGGACAAGAACGGAATGGTATTGTGAGAAATGTTCTATGCCTGTTTGCAAAAGTCATAAAGAAGGACATGGCAATGAACAATAATTCAATCCCACCGATTATATTTACAATAATTCATGCCAATATTGATGGATAAATACAATAATTAGCTTCATTTTATACGATTTTTTGAAACACTCTCAGGAGGCCGAATGTTTCTTCCTTCATTACAATAACTAATTGGCCTCTGACAGAAAAGTGTTATATAGGTTTTCGTCTAAACTTTACCCCCAGAATCGATTTCCGCATTCAGATTTTGAAAATTATAAATTTTTTTATAATTTGTTTAAATAGTATGTTATAAACAATTGCAAATGACATAAGAAAAAATATATATATTTTATTTTTCACTTATGCAAAGGATAGCACAGTTTATTTTTTGCTATTCCAGATAGATTTTGCTTGGGACTTGACATGGTCACTTTTTCTCCCCAACATGCAATTGTTTATTCCTACGTTACACTAACAAATTGAATTCTGACAAAAAAGTGTTATATAGGTTTTCGTCTTGATTTCATCTCCAGAATCGATTCCCGCATTTAGATTTTGATAATTATGAATTTTTTTGTAATTTGTTTAAATAATTTGTTATAAACAATTGAAAATAACATAAAAAAATACGTATATTTTATTTTTCACTTATGCAAAAGATAGCACAGTTTGTTTGTCGCTATCTCAACCAGTCTTAGCGTGGGCTTTAATGGGTTAATGCGGCCTATAGTGCCAGTATATCTCGTGCAATTTACGTGCGCAGTCGAGGCTTGACGCCGACAGCTCAGGTGTGAATTACA